AAGACCATCACTCCGCGGGCAGCGCGTCGCTGAAGGCAGCGCTCAGGGCTCGCCGGGCTGCAAACCACAAAAAAAGGGGAGTTTGGTCAATGCCTCGAGTTCTCCCCGGCTGCGGGCATTGGCACCAAGCGGCACGGCACGGCCGGGCTCTCCGTCCTGCGGCGAACTCCCGAGCTCGGGCCCTTTTGTCCCAGGAATGGAGGAATTGAAGGAGTCTCCGGAGAGCGGGCAGAGCCCGTTTGATGCTTCTGATCCCTCTTAATTCCCCCGAGCGCCCGCGCTTTGCCGCACGTGAAAGCAGCCAGCGGAACAGCTCGGCAATAAAACCCGGCAAACCATGCCCCATTCCAAAACTGCCCTGATTTCCTTCCAGTATAATTAGTTTAGGGTGTTTCTTTCAACGGAGTAATTATCCTAGAATGAGACTGGGTGCCCAGGCAGCTCCGGGGAGGATGTGCCAGTCTGCTGCTCCAGAGCAAAAGCAGAGCCCAGGTTACATCTGAATTTTTCCGACCTCTTGTCGTCCACAGCAACCTAAGGGAAACCTCAAAAAAAAGACCTCACAGCCAAACTCGGCTGGAAACTCAGCCAGATGGTTAATGGGAGGAATAACACACTGGGACACGGGAAATTTTAACCGGGCACCAGTAGCTCGGCTTAGCTGGGGCTAGGAGGATTTCAATGGTATTTTTTGTCACCAGCATGACAACAGGAAGAGTTTTCCAGCTGAAGGTGATTTGTGGGGGATTTGCCTGGTTCGAAGCCCAGCATCCCACTATTTTGGGCACAAAGGCGATTCATGACTCTGCCGAAATGACAAACCACAACTGCAACTCAACGGCGGCACACTGCAGCGGGCACCCAAAATTACACCCCGGGCTGAAATCCTCTAAAAGCGACTTTTTTGAGAAAACTTCAAACCAAACATCAGTTATTTCTTTGCAGAAGCATCCGTCAAAAGCTGATGTTTATTTACAGACATCATTTGAAGCCAAATAATCCTACAGCCGGCCTGGGAGTGGGATTAGCCCCCACGATTTTCAGGTCCAAATCAAGAGAAATGGGAAAAAAAAAAAAAAAAAAGATTAAACATGAAAGAACAATTGTCATTTTTGTCATTATATTCTAAAGGGCTAGCGGTGGGGAGAAAATAATTTGGGTCTAAGCCTTAAGGAGTCTTTGCGGTACCGATGCAGCGGGATAGGGAAGGAGCCCTGGAAGGGCTGGTTATCCCGTGGGTAGCTGTAAGGGACGAGGGGGATACAGGGAGCTCACCTGCCCCCAGAAAAATTCTTCTGGGCCCAGGGTTTGGCATTTTGCAGAACAGGAACGGCCAACGGCACACATCTTGGATTTCAGGCAGATTAGGTCAAACACCGACCTGATCAGCAACCTCCACGTTATCTTATTTTCCCTTTAGCACTTTTCAGCTGAGGTTCTCCAAACACCTTCCATCTCGCCACCTCTCCTGAATTAACGTTTTTCTTAACGCGCAGGAAAAAAATTGACCTACGAGGTGGGGAAAAGCCAGTTTTGGCCTCTTTTGGCTTATTTTAGCTCTGCCTCCTTCGAGAGCATGAGGTTGGACGCAGCGTCAGCCACCCTGATCTCACGTTAACTTGTCCTCAGTGGAGCTCTCGCCTCTCCTCCCCGCACCGCTTTGCTCTCCCCGAAGCACCGCGGACACCGATAGTCCCTGCGGGGATAAATCCGGCTGCTCCCAAGTGCTGGAAAACCAAATCAGTTGCTCTGCCAGGCTCGGTGTCCCTGGCACTGCCACCGCTGCTGCGCAGAGCCTCGCCCAGCCCAGGGCTCCGACGGCACCTTCCCCTTCGCAGGGGAGGAGAGAGGCCACCGGACTGTTTTCTATGGGATTTCGAAGGAAAATGATAATTCGTGAAGTCAGCTTGGATAATTGCTGCTCCCATCCACCGGCAGGAGACCGGAGCATCCCTGCCACGCTTCTGCAAGAGCCTTCTGCTCTCAGCCCTCCCCAACCCCGCTATTAACGGCACCAAAACGTGCATCGCTTTTATGCAAAGGAGAAATTAAAGTCTAAGCCAGCGTTATTTAGCAAATAAAGGTCTGGGATGGGACTCCTCACCGGGCTCTCGGATGAATCACGTCCTTCCCCCACGCACTCTTTTCCCCTTTTGATACAGAAAAGGGAGATACCAGTGTCGGGAGCAACCAGTGCTCGTCCTCTCCAGCTAAAGCCAACCAGGCTGAGCTGTGGGGTCTGGAGCAGCCACCTCCAACCCTGACTCTGCCTGGCGCAGGAGGGGAGCGGAGATAAGAAAAAAGTACTCCCAGCCCTGAATAACCCCGTTAAATCTGGCCAGGAGCTGGAGGTGACCGTGGGCACACAGCTGGCAGCGTGGGATGGAGCCGCCGGCTCCAGCCAGGGGAGGGAGAAACGAGATCCCCGCAGGACCGCGGCACCGCTTCCAGCGGAGCTATTTCTGCACGGAGATGACTCACCTCCCCGGAGCGTGTCCGTCCACCTTCTGCAAAAAAAAAAAGGGACTCTCTCCAAAAGAAAAGAAAAGCGGCCGCGGTTCCTAATGTTATGCAAAGCCTGAATGTTGAAACAGAAAATCAAACAGATATTTGCCCGTTAATCGCGTCAAACAAAGGCTTAAACAAACTGAATTTGGGATGAGGGTCAAAATATGCCTGATAAAAGTGGTGAGCTGCTGGGCTCCCTGCAGAATAATTTCCCAGGGTAGTTTATGCCCAAAATCTCCATGTTTTCTTCCCCTCTGGCAATCCCTCCAGCCATCCTCAGGATCCTTCTGCCCGAAAACGCCCAGGGAGGAAAGGCTGGAGCCCAGCAAGGAAAGGCTGGAGCCCAGCAATATTCGCTGCCCTCGTTATCCCACGGATCAGTTCTTGGACCTCTGCACCGCCGCGGGGTTTAGGGCTTAATCCCGTAACGGGCTCAGGGCAGGATGAGATGCACGGAGAGGAGCAGTGCTGCGCTACGCACCTGCCCTCCGCTGCAGGATCGGGCCCTCCGCACGTCCCTGGGGCATCCAAGTGAGCATGGATGGGGATCAGCACCCGATTTCGGAGCTGGGAACTGCTGAGCCTTAAAAGTGAGGGGGCACAGGGGCACTTCCCACCTGCGGGCACAGTCCCTGCGCTGGTTTGAATCCCCTGGCGTACTCTGCTCTTGCCTGTTTTCAACGTTTTTAACCTTAAAAAAAAAATTTGATGTTTCTGGTGTGTGTAACGTTGTTTTTTTTAAATTTTAACTCAAAACCCAACCAGAGCTGGGAACTGCTGAGCCTTAAAAGTGAGGGGGCACAGGGGCACTTCCCACCTGCGGGCACAGTCCCTGCGCTGGTTTGAATCCCCTGGCGTACTCTGCTCTTGCCTGTTTTCAACGTTTTTAACCTTAAAAAAAAAATTTGATGTTTCTGGTGTGTGTAACGTTGTTTTTTTTAAATTTTAACTCAAAACCCAACCACTGACCTTTGGCAAACATGTTTGTCCACCCCCCAGGACAGTATTAAGGGCAAAACAAGCGGACAGAGTCCTGCTGCCCCAAACGCACAGGAGTGGATGCCCGCCTTCTCCGGCCTGGACACCGGCACCACCGGGCACGTCATCGGGATCGTGAGACGATTTCACCACTCCTGGAATAAAACCGACCCAAATTCCATCCCTGGCCAGTGACACAGCTCCCGAAGCAGAAAGAAATGAGCAAATAATAAATGACCAGACAGCAGAGCTGGGAGGGGGGTCTCAGCCAGCCTTGAGCCCCTCCACATGCCAAGGTGCCACCTCACTCCTTCTGCCCCACGGCTCCAGCTTCACCCCAAATTCGCCGAGCGGGAAGGAATGAGACGGGGAACACCCTGCCCGGGGCTGGG